ATGGCTCAAGCATCGTTGTTAAGCGGAAAAAAAGGGGCCCCTAAAAAAAAAAAAAAAAAAGGCGCCTTGTCGAGCAGGTCTCGGCACGAGGCCAGCTTGCCCTGCCGGCCGAGCTCGTTGAGCATATTGTTGAAGGACGCCGTCGTGATCCAGCCGAAGCCGTATTTTTGGTTCTGCGAGTCGATAAAGGCCGACAGGCCGCTCCAGTTGCCCCGGGCCTGCTGCAGATCGTGCATGATGAACCGCGTTGCGATCATGCGGCTGGCGCGGGGGTCGTCGAGCAGCCCGCGCTCGTTCATGGCGCGGAGTACGTGCTGCTCGACCTCGTTGTTCTTGACGATGGCCAGGAACAGCGACCACGTCTTGAGCGTGGGCACGTAGCCGCGACGGGCCATGAGGGAGACGATGCTCCCAAAATTGCGGAGGTCGTCGAGCCTCATGTTGCCCGTCAGTAATGTGTTGAAGACCTCGACGTCCATGGGCAACGACGCTGCCTCCATCCGCACAAACAGCTCGCGCACCTGCGGCCGGAACACCACGCCATGGCTGCCCATCCACTTGAGCACCGTCTTGAAGGCACTCGTCGAGAGAGATGATCGGGTTTCCCGTGACTGGAAAACGTCCATGATGAGGTGAAGCACCGCCTCGCGTGCCTTCATGCCAGATCCGTACAGCTCAGTAGCCTTGTAGGGCGGCATCTTTGCCCTCACGAGAGCCGTGACGTAGGCCTCAAAGGTTTCCGGCGTCCAGTATAACGGACGGGGATAGTCTTCAAATTTATAGAGTATAGTCCACTCGGGAGTGAAGCCAGGTTTCTCCAGCGGTTTTGTGCTGGTCCAACGACGCGGCTTGCTCTTTCTGGACCCGTTCTTCTGGATGGATGTCGAGCTCGTCGCCGGCAGCGGCTGGTGTTCCACCAGACCGCTAGCCGCTTTCGTCGTCGTCGTCGTCGCCGCCGCCGCCATTGGCGACTCGATTCGGCAACCTGTCCGGCAATATAGGCAATCTCGGCCTTGGCCGCCTCGACGGCGTGATCGAAGCCCATCAAAACGATGCGTTTGCCAGGGGGCCGCAGGGATGCGCTGGCCGACGACTCGTCCATGTCGAGCCGGCAGTCCGTCCTCTCGGCAATATCCCAGATGGTCTGGTCAGTCCCGTACAGCAACCGATCAGCCACCTGCCGCGTGACGACGAGCGTGCGGCTGGCCTGGGACAGCGTGCGGGCGACCTTGGGCGCCCTGTTCGACAGAATGGTGAGCACCTTGCGCCAGTCGGCCGTGTCCTTGCCCTTGCCCTTCCGGATCTCGTCGAGCCGCAGCTGCTGCCACAGGGCCCGGTGCTGGCGCTGGCGGCTGGCGTTCGTCTCACGGACGGAGGCGTAGACGACGCTCCCCTTGTCCATGACGGAGCCGGTCGTGACGGCGGCCTCGATCGCCTGGGCGTCCTCCTCGACGTCGTACAGCAGCGTGTCGAGAAACTGCCTCTTCATGGCATCGTGCATCGACTCGGGCTGGAGCGCTGGAGCGATGCGCATGGGCGGCGCCGCGTCCATCTCGGGGGCCCGACGCGGCGACAGGGCTGAACGTCGAGCATCACCGAGCTTTCCCGCATCGGGGGCGGCAGCGGAAGCAGCAGAAGCAGCAGCAAGCCCCGATGCGAGGCGTCGTCGCACCCACGGGAGCCACGGCCCGCGACCACAACCCGGAGAACCCCTGGGAATCAGCGGGTTCCCAGCGTCGCGGATCGACAGCGGCCGGGCTCGCCACGCTTGCTTGATCCCCAGGGACATTGGCTATGAGCGGTTCATTCTTGGTGGTGTGTGGTAGGGTCGGCGTCGGGATCGAATCGGCGCATGTGTCTTCGGTTGGGTATGCGTAACCTGTGGTCTTTGATCAATCCTTTGTATCTGTCGGTTGGAAAACGGGTCTGCTTGATTCCATGTCTCCAGACAGACAGCCTTGGGGGGGAAGGGTCAATTTTCGCGCCGGGGACCGACTTGTCGACTCGCCGATAGGCGATAAGGCGCGGCTGGCGCGGCTGTGGAAATTGTCCGGCCAGGCGCGTTTGCCCCACCAGTCGAGCTACATGTATGCCCTGAACGTCTCACGGAGCCATGGTCACACATTCGGAGCAGAGCAGCATGTTTGAATCGGTTCTGCCGTGTTCGTATTATGCATATCGTATATTGGTAGGAAATGGGTATACCGTGCCTCAAACCCCTGAAATGGCGTTGTGCCTCATGGGAGCTTGCCCACATTGGGTTGTGCCGGGCCGCTCTGGTCCACGCCCTCCCAGGCCTCGCTCCATCCCTCCTTGCCCTCGACGGCGCCCCTCGATTCGCCGTTCTCTGCCACGCCTTTCACGTCGCTCCAGTATGATAATCGCCTGACCTCCTCGTCCGCGTGCTTGATGGCGGCGCCCAGGTTATTCCGTCTCGTCTTGAACGCCGCATCTCCCTTATCGACATTGTTCATCTCGTCATACACCTGAGTCAGGCGGCTCAGCAAGATCCGCCTCGACACCTGGAAGACGAATATGCCCATAATGTCGTGCATCTCGTCCTGGAGCCGCTCGAGGTCGTCCTTGGCGTGCTCGAGATAGTTGTCCACCGCCTCGATTTTCTCTCGGTCGATGCGCGCCGCGGGGAGCACCATCATCAGCATCCACACGTCCTCGATCACAGGCTTCTCGTCCAGAACGCTCTCGGTGGTGGAGAACCGGCCGATGCTGCCCTTGCTGTGGATACTCGCCTTACTATGCGTGCTCGCCCTGCTCCCCTGCCGGCTGCCCCCGTGCGACGAATGGGGCCGATGGTGCTCTGCGGGCATGACGTTGAAGTAGTCCGTGTTGAGCATGTGAGGATCCGAGACCAGGTCGTCGCTGCACTTCTTGACGCGTTTCCGGATCCAGGCCCGCCTCCTGACGAACGAGTTCCACCACTTGGGGCCATGCCACGAGAACTTTCTGGCAAACATGAACGAATACTCCCACCCGAATTCGTCCATGGCCACGCCCTCTTCGCGGTTGATGCGCCATTCAGGCCACGCCCATTCCCAGCTCGGATCAGGGACCGTCGCCGTCCTGATGCTGGTCGGGCTCGTCTTCTTGAACTGGTTCGTCCAGGGCGACGGATCAAGGTTGCCGAGGGCAGCACCCGAGAAGAGAGCCGCGCCGCAGACGAAGCAGCCCCTCTCATTCTCCCACAGGATATCAATCTCGGATTCGGGCTCTTTGCGCTGCTTGGACTTTGGTCGCGCCGTGTCGCCATTGGCCGCTCGTGTCGGGGGTTCGAGGGGCGTAGGACCTTTTTTGGGCAACACTGCGTCAGCACGCCTACCGAGATAGGGGAGGTGAGGAGGGAGTGGCTGGATGTACACACCTTCTACCTCGATTGATGGACCCGTTTGCGCCGTGTCCCGAGCGCCGATGGGACTTCCATCTTGTCCTCGGTCTGCCTGTGTGTCGTCGGCTCCTTGTCGGTTGTCGAGAGATGATCGCCCGGTCGTCGCAGCGCTGTGCTGTCTGTCGTGTGGGCTCTGCTCTCCCCTCGGCGCTCCGCACGTGCTGGGAGGAAGATTGGTCCTCGTCGACTGTAAGGGCCGTGTTGCTTGTAAAGGCCGTGTTGCTCCTGGAGCGAGTCGTCGGTGGTGATTCCTGGTCGACGAGGCCTATTTCATGATCATAGTCGCTGTCTTTCAGAGTCTGGACCCGACGAGACGTGTGGAGTGACAGGTTCGGCATGGCTACGTCTCGTCGCTTGGCATGGCGGTTGCCCGAGTCGACACGCTTGCTTCGCCGCCTCCAGAGATGAGAAGCGGGCGAGTGTCGCGAAGTCTAGCGAGATGGCAATGCAGGGCGAATGGATGGATGATGGAGAAGTGAGCGCGGAGAGAGAGAGAGAGAAGGAGAGCTTCCGCAGAGCAGAGTACCTAGGGTAGACCCCCGAGTTGGTGGGACGGGATGACGAGTCTAGCACGGAGGCCGGGAGGCGTTGGCCCAGGCGCTAGAGCGACTTGGACTGGTTCGTCTGGAACAGAGCAGAGCGGGAGGACCGCCCGGGTGGGATGGATGAGCGTGCGCTTGGCTGGGTGGTATACTCTGTTCAGGGCTACGAGGCAAGGAGAACGCAGTGCGAGGCGTGTCACGATGGTTTGACGTGGAGACCTTTCGACCGTGGCATCAGGGAGGGGGGCTTGAGGCTTAGCTCCTGGTGGTCAATGTTGCACCCAACCAGACCTCAGGCCGGGGGGGGGGGGGAGGAATCAGGGATTCGAAGAATTGAAGGTTCTAGGGCGCAGGGTGAAATTGTGGCAGCGACAGGCTGATCTAATTCAGACCAGCGGAGGAAGGGTGGTGATGGGTGGTGGCTGCGAAGACACTGTCCTCCATAGCTGCGACTCCATGGTAGGTAGCATGGCCCCCTCGGGCGTGCCGTGCGCGGCTGAAAAGATCCAGATCCAGATCCCAATCCAGACAGGTCTAGCTGGGTCTTGTGCTGTGCTGTGCTGTGCTGTGTTCGATGACGCAAATGGCTCCTCGTGGCTAGTGATGGGCCCCCCCTGGGCCACCGGTCCTGAGATTCTCCACCTTCCGCCTGCAGGTCGGAAGGGACAGGGGGATGATCCTCGAGCTTGACAGTGGAACTGGAGTTCGTCAAATGGCATTTGCATTCCGGATCAGCAAAAGTCTCCTTACATTACCTAGACGTACCTAGGTGCGAGTCTTCGCGAGTCTGCTTTGTTGGGTTTTGCTCTGGACCTCTGACATGATGGAATGCTGCGTGTCTTGCCTGCCACCCTAGGGACCTACCTACCTAGGTACGTAGGTACCTGAGATACGTGAATGAAAAGCAGGCCCGTGCTTGCCTGCATTCAGGACCTGTAGCCTGGCGCGCTTGCCAAGGAACAGAGCTGGTACCGTACAGACGCATGATCCAAGACGGGTCCCCGCATTTCCCGGCACTACGTCATGTATCATGATCCAACAGCTCGATCACTCTTGCACCAGAAGATGCGCCCAGAGCGGAGAGCAGAGGGGGGAAGCTGCCAGGAATTGGAGACATAGCTCCGATCTGAGCGAATGAGCGTCCCGAGCTGGCCGAGGGCCTTGGGGTGACAGACAGACACACACAGAGAGAGAGAAAGAGACAGAGAGAGAGAGAGAGCGAGAAGGAGTGGCTGGGACCAATAGGGAGACAGCCAGAAGAGCCAAGAGAGAAGTGACTTGTTGGAAGGCGTGATGTCGTAGGCACAGCCGGGAGCAATAAGTACTTTCCCATCCGCCTGTCCTCACGTCTGCCCTTCCCTCCCTCACTTCTCTCACACTCACCAATCAATCAATTCGCTGCACCTTGACGATCACAGCTTCTACCGATACACACACACCACGCCTCCCCCATAACCCAACCACCATCCTTCACCATGTCCAAGTCCAAGGCTCCCCTCGCCATCGGTCTCACTGCCGCCGGCGGTATCGGCTACTACCTATTCGCTGCTGGTGGAAGCCCCAAGGTCGCCGAGAAGAAGGCTGAGGGTAAGCGCAATTGTTCCCCCCCGTCCCGATACACCGTTCCGTTGGCTGACCATGACCTCCCCTCTCGCAGCCGACGCTCACAGGGCCGCTGCCAGCATCAAGTCCCACCTTCCCGGTCGCGATGTCGGCGCCCAGGGCACTCTGGGCGATGCTGCCGCCCGCACTGGTGCCAAGATTGACCATGCTGTAAGCCTTCCTGCCCTTGCTTTTTGACTGCTGCTCCTCCCCCACCCAGCCCGCAGACCAGAGTCCTGTGCTGACAAACGTCCCAGGCCGCCGAAGCCGACAAGCAGTTCGGCATCGCGAAGAGCAACGCTGAGGCCTTCGCCAAGGATGCCAAGGCTGAGACGCTCAAGAGCATCAACGAGTTCGACCACAAGGTCGAGAACAAGGCCGCCGAGGTCAAGAAGGCCGCGTCCTCCTGGTTCAGCAGCGGCAACAAGCCCTGAGCTCGCCGTTCCTCGTTTCACACCGTTCGACTCTGGGGTAAAGTGCGTGGAAAGGCGTTACACCGATTCTGCTGTAGGACTATGACATGGCAACCACGGATGGCGTGGTGGCTACAGGGACGCCGTTTCTTCTAATTTTCTTCTGTTACACACTTCCTTCTGTTCACACAACATGGAAGGGCACGGCGACATGATATAGTAATTGATGACCACCACCAATCCGATCCAACCTGGAGAACGATCCATTGACCCTGCCCTCGGGCTACCTGCGAAGTGTTGAATATGATACTGTTTTCGCTGCAATTCCAATAGTACACTGCTTCTCTGTCTTGTACATTTTTTAAACGTTCCGTCTTTACCTTTCTAGACTGTTGGCCACCAGGTTGAGGATCTCCTCCGTTCCCTTTCTCGCGTTGGCTGGGCGCTTCGCAATCGCCTGCCAGTATTCGCCGTGTCTCGGCTCGACGAGCACACACTTGGTGATGACCTCGCCCCGTTTCTCCTGCGTGCAATTGTTAGCCTCGTGTACCGGGGGTGTCCGTCCAGCATCGAGCCCGAAGGGGGGTTCACTCACTTCTGTGCCATGCTGGAGGAGGAACTTGTAGTACCAAGCCCACGTGTCGCCGTTGTTGCTGTCGAGCACCAGCGCCTTCTCGAACCAGTTCTGCGCCTTCTCCAGCTTGCGCTCGCCCCAGAACAGCCGCGCCACGGCGACGAAGAGGATGGGGTCGTTGTCGACCTTTTTGATGGCCTCGAGGCTGCGCGGCTTGCGCTGCGTGCGCCGCCTCGAGGTGCCAGATCTGCTCGCTCCACAGCAGGCCGCTCTTGGGCACCTCCTGCAGCGCCTTGGCCATGAGCGACTTGGCCTGGTTGACGTTGCCGGGCGCGGCGCTCGACGCGCACCGACTCGCACCAGAGCGCCGGCGACTTGGGCACGGCGAGGCGCGCGCGGTCTAGCACGGAGCGCGCCTTGACCACGAGGCCGGCGCGCTCCTCGAGCCGGGCGTACAGGAGCCAGAGCGGCACCGACGCGGGCACGGCCTTGACGCCCGTGCTGTACGCCTCGCGCGCCTGGCCGAGCTTGTCGAGGTCCTCGTAGATCTGGCCCTTGAGCATCCAGAGCTTGGCGGCCGCGGGGAAGTACTGCAGCGCCTGCTGGACGAGG